AACTTAAAAAACAATAGTAATTAATAAATATGGTTAATTTAATTTGTAAGTAGGAACAATCATTGATTAAATATACATAGATAGCCCACGCAACGTTATAAAGTGTGTGGTACAATGTAGGTACATAATAAAAAGTATTGAGTTCGAGTTCGAGTTCGACTTAAAATCATAATAGGTTCGGTAGAAAATATGAAGGTTCGGTTCAGTTCGAGTTCGAAAAAATAATTTAAAGTTCGGTTCGATTTAAAAAATCAGGGTTCGACCCATCACTAATATATATATATATCTGAGTTATTAAAGATGAATTATCGTGTACCTATCATAATTTTTTTCTTTTGGAATGTAATAATACAATAAATAATTAAAGCACTATTCATTATTAAGAACCATGAAAATTGTAGATATCTCCTCGAAAAATAAAGTTAGAAATTAACACCGCGATGAGAGGATTGAGTGGAGTGGACAGCAGCACGAGGACGCACGCATACGATATTGGCTGTCCCTCCAAAACAACAACAAATTAGATGTATAAGATAAAAAATGCAACAGAGTCGAATAAAATAGTGTATAAACAATACGGTGTAAGGAGAAAGTTATGAGTCTCGCTAATTAATTCGAAGCCCCCACCGAAAGTTCTTTTCGAAAGTTCTATCCTGCAACGATCACCATGTACATAAGCCGGTCGTGTTTTTATAAATGTTTTAATAAATAATACGGTACAACTACGTTGGGACAATATAATCATCGGAAAAACATTGACCGACATTTAAACATTTTCAAAGTGGCCGCCCTACATTAACCATGTTTTATATTCGTACACGCCATGTACTATTACATTCAACAAAATCATCGGCTTCGCCAAAATTCACGGCAGTCTTCCTTCAAAAAATAACTTCCCCAAAGTACTTATCTACCAACTACAATGGTTAAATACAATAAAGGTTATAAATTACAATTTTGAAGCACATACTTATATCAAGTTAATAAATCGTGTGAATATTAAAAGAAAAATTTACTAACGCAAAACCAATATAATAATACGCATTCCGTGAACACTTTTTCAGAATCTAAAACAATAAAATGCGTTTCTATAGTATAGTGTAAGCTCAGTGATTAAAGTAAAGGTGGACGGAAGAGTACGGAGTCCTCCTTCTTATTTAAGGTAATACTATGCGTCCCCTTTAGTTTAAATATCCAAAGTCCGAGGGAACTTAACGTTAAACGGCGTTAGTAATTATCACACTATGTTCATATTATCATATGATAATATGTACTATTGATTAATATATTTGAATATGTGGAAGAAAAAGTTGAGACTTTGAAGAAGAAATATTTATAATGAAATAATATGTTGCGATATGTAAAAATTAAGTATAAGATAATATTCTTGTAATTGTGGGTTAATTTAATAGACGCTGTGTTTAATTGTAAAAAGATACCCGGGCGCTTGTATAAATAACAATTAATATTTTAACACGTACACGGACCGTCACTCGACACCAACACATAGTTTATTATTATAATGGCTCTTCCAAAACTGAAGTGATATGTGATAGACAGCAGCTTTTAATGATTGTAAGTTAAAAATATTTGCTTTCTGTTTTTGATGGTATGGTCATGGTGTAAGTTACAATCAAATATATGTAAGGTAAGTTCTTAAGTTATAATTAAAAGACGGACTCTTAGGTTTTTTAAAGTATAATATATGCACGGAAAAATACCTCAACATTTTACCTAAATATTCCCTGAAAAACTGATTGGATTTTGAAATGAATTTGTTCGAAAAATGCTTAAATCCAAGGAATATTTGATTTTATTAAAAATATCCTCAAGTATGCTAATGCTAATTATTTAATTATGTAAAAGTAATCTTCTTCTTCTGGTTAAAGGCCTTTCAAGACCATCCCATCTCACACCCGACCCGTTCCTCCATTCTTCTCTATCCATTGCTATTTCTTTCCAATTCGTTCCTCCTCCTAGCGATTGTACATCCTTTTTAACTAAGTCTTCCCATCTTGATTATTATTATTATTATCATTTAATTATGTATAATATTATAAATACAATGAATATATTTTGATTTATATTATTGATAGTTGTATTAATTGTTGTTTGCACTTATAAACATGTACCTATTTACTCGGAATAGGTATCACAAAAAAAAAAAAAAATGTTTCCAGTAAAAAATTCAAGATAACTTACATAAAGTTTTTTATATGTAAAATTAAAAAAAAAATCACCACATTTATAATAAAACAATAAATGTATTGTCAATTCATAATAATAAATAATAAAATAAAATAATTATTTTTGTTTTATTTTAATCCTCTTTTCATATTATGTTTTTTTTCTGTGATATTTAAGTCCAAATTTATGAATTGAATAAATATGATCTTTTTTTACAGACAACAACACATATTTTAAAATATGAAAAGCAGTATAATATCTCTAATCCCCAAAATAAGTTAAATTATGTAAAATAAATATTTTTTTCTACAAACTCAAATAAATAACTATAAAAATAAAAGTTACCTTTCAGTTGCATAAAAAAATATATATTTATTTAGTTGTTGATAATACATAAACATTATTATTATGTGCATATTTGTTGTTGTTTTATTGACCAAAAACTGTAGGTTAGCATGGTTAGCAAGGTTAGCGATTGTTAGTTTTTAATTTTGTTACAGTTCTAAATGTTAAGACTGCTTTGTATACATATTAATAATAATTAATTAAAAGTTAAGCTTGTGAGTTGTGGTATTATTTTATTACCTAACATATGATGTTTAATATAAATTTGTTTTATTCGTATTTTTAATGAAATATTTAAAAATAAACCAAATTAAAAATTTTAATTCATTTTTATAAACACTTTAGACTGTATATTACAATTTTTTTTTACTGACCTGGCATAATATTTTGATGATAGTTTTTTAGTTTTTTTGGGGGGGAGGGGAAGAAACTTCTTTTTAATTTTTACTCCCTATAAAACATTTTATAAGCAAATTTGTGTAAAAAAAAAATTGAGTAATATTTCTTAACTATATTTTCATTATATTGATATAATTATACCGTTTAAGATTACATGTGTACATATTTTTCACAAAGAAAATTGATTTTTAATTTACATTAGATTTTAATGATAGGATATACTCGTAAAATAAAATACGAGTAAATGTACCATATGAATATGCAATTATATCATGTCATTTAAAAATGAAATAACATTTTTATGGGACTACCTGTACATTTTTATTTTATTTTTTCGTTTATCTTGCATTACAATTTGACATTATTTTTCTATTTTGTACAATGTTATCCATACATATATATATATATATATTACTCAACCTAATAATATCTTACCATATTATAATATAAACAGTAGTAAATACATAAGAAAAAGAAAAAAAAATAACAAAAAGAATCGTTATTTATTTTTCTACATTTTTATATTATCTATCCACATAAACACACGTATTATTTAAGTACAGATAAATCGGTTCGATTAAGATTTGCATGAAAATGAAAAACTGCAGGTAGAATAACGAATGTCATTATGATATTACTTCGGCTACGAAAATTGCACAAACGTGACAGGCTTTATTCGAAAGTATAAAAGTAGTAAAAAGGCTTTTATCTCATTTTAAGAGTCCTCTCATCATTAAATTTATTTCTTATCTTTTTTAATAAATCTACGACAAATATGCTATCCCAAGTTGACAAATTTTAGAATGTTTACATTTGAATAATCACTGAAAAATATTACGTTTTGAAAGTAATACATTAGTCACCCATCTTAACCGTTACCATCAGTCATCTTAAATTGGTAAAACGTTTCAAATCATTTTTGCAAATATAGGGAAACCTTCCTCCACTTATAATATAATGTATGGTATACGTATTTGATTATTAATCATTGGCCATACGATTTCATCGACAAATCAAATTACTAAGTATTCATTATATATTCATGTTTCACGAAAAAAAAAATTTATTTCGTCAATAATATGAGTTTCGTTCGTACACACGATTGTAATGCATTTATTTTCCATTTGTGTGCATGTCACATACTATGAATAAACCACCTACCTGGATTAACATCCCGAAAATAAATTAACGAGTTATACGAATTATTTATGGTGATTTGTTTTATCGAATTCACCGAAGAATAATGGTCAAAAAAAAACGTTTAAGGTTTTAAGTACAAAGACTATGAATACAAACTTGTAAAGGAGGGATAGCAGTAAAAAGTTAAGAAACAAAATATATTTTATAAAAACGCATATTTTGATAATAGTACTAAAAATCTAGTATAAAATATTATGTTTTTTTGATAGAATAATTAATCAGCTTTAAAATATACTTTTTTTTTTTAATAAGAACTCTATAAAAAATACTACTTATTTCAATTGCGATTGAAAAAATCTGTATTATTTATACATCATAACTCAGATCAACTGAGAATCAGTTTTAATCATTGTTTTAATAATTTACTTAATCATAAAAACAAAACTCCTATTATACACATTAAATGAAACTAAAAACATAAACCCCTTATTGCATGTTGTACCATACGTGACACAAAGAGGTTTTTTCTTATTATTTTATCCAATATTTGAAATATTTGGTATTCCAAAAGTGCAAGCATGGCCAGATTTTGCACCAATAGATCCATAAAAACAATGTAAGGTTCTGCGCTATAAATTTATGCAGTAGTACAAATAAATAAATGTATTGTATCAAAAAAAAACTAAAATATAGGTAGTTAATAAGATTAATACAGCATATGTGCAATAACAATTAACATTTATATTTTTACAATTTTATGAATAAGAAATTTTTATTTAACATGATCAATTTATTTTTGATTTTAGGCTAAGTAAAAACTTCGTAAAAATGGCAAACAATGTCCAAGTTACGGATGAAAAAGAAGAAGAAAAAACAAATTAATCAGTTCCTTGATATATTCAATTATATTAATTGAATTACAACAATAATTACTTAAAATTACTTTTAACTTGCTTGTATTTATTTAGCCGTAGCATCCAAACTGTCCAATAATCTAGGCAGGATTGTTTTGTTAGTTTGAAAACGTTAGCAGGATGGCCGTCACTATATGCGACAACTACTAATCCTTCTTCAACCTAAATAAGGAAAAAATATGAAAAACTTTTGTATTTATAATTTCCAACGGTATTTACCAATGGTATTGGCTAACAACGTGAACTGAGAAAACATTTTTCTCAGTTTTAAACCATGCGACATTTATAACGTAGGTATAACAATAGCAATAATTACGGTTTTAAATTACTGAATAAAATCTGTTTACGAATATGTACATTCCAAAATTGGGGTCCAACCTTTATTTATTACATTTCTTTGGGTTACATCGATTTTATTGAAATGGCGATGTTATAATGTGCTATGGAACGCAATAATACTTGTCAAAGATAGAGTTTTGATTATACGGAAGTGTGCTTTAAAGAAACTGTCGATTTTCGGTCACATGGTTAAATGGTTAATTTTGGACTTGGGAGGCCGGAAACTTATCTAAAACGAAATATTATTTATTTATTTATTTTTTTTTTTGTTTCTTGCTATTCTATAATAAATTCTATGACAATTATAATAATAATAATAATTCTATGAAAATGTTTACTTAATAATGTCATTACTAAATACATATTACTTCGAGGTCAATAAATCACACAAAAACCGTATAATAACTCTATTATGTGAGCTATACAATTCCCGTTCGAAATATAAAAAAAAAGTTCTATCAGCTTCATATAAAATGATTAATGTAATAATAAGTATTATAATACAATAAGTATTTGAAGGAGTGCGGCGTATAGGAATATGTACGATGTGAAATTATTACCTATTTTTCCAAGATATGACAGATTTTGGGGAAAGGACATTTTTCACAAATCGCATAACATACAGTTTAAATACAAAATAAATAAATCTGCATATTAATTACCTTAAAGTCGTAGGAAATGTCGTTGTTCACAGCTCCCATGTAAGCAGCTAGTTGAATAGGAGCGTCATACGTTGCCTGCAAAGTCAACTTGTCACGTGATGACTTCTTCCACTCTATTACAACGGGAGTATGTCTGAAACACGAAGCAAATATTATTATTATTATTATTATTAATACATAACAGCACTACATATAATCGATTTTATAGATGTAATTACTTATAAAATGCAACACAATCCACAATGCCTTTGTACATCAGCTCCTTATGGACGACCATTTTTTCGACAAGAATCGGCTTCGAAATGTTATTCAGAACAGCATTCAAACTTCTCCAACAATTCTCTACTTCTTCGTAATGACTCACTTCGTCCAGACTACCGGTAAAATACGACTGTATTTTACTATGCATAGCCCTTCCCATAGCCATTAACTCTGAAATAAATCGTATTAAACGTTTATAACGAACTCCGACTAGTTCACGGTTTTGTGAATACTTTTCCGGATAATTAAACGGCAACGATGAATATTCGATGTTTCGTACTTATTATTAATTAAATTTGACTATATACATATACATACAGGACCGGCGTGAGAGTAGGGTGAATCAGGCGGTCGCCTAGGTCACCATTTTCAGGAGGACGCCAAAATTATTTTTTACAATTTTACACATAATGTCAGTAATATAATTTTTTTTTTTAATGTAAAATACCTATAATTTTCTATTGAAATATTGATAATAATTAAAGTTATTTCCTAAAGCCATATATTAAAATAATATAAGTATATTTTAAGTACCTATATTTACTATAGTTTAGCGTAGAATATTTTATCGTATATGTTGCTATAATTCCCAAATATTTGTTATCGTTTAATCGGGATCGCGTCGAGTTGTCGTGACTCGTGACTAAAAAATTAAACGATAACAAATAATATACAAGTTGAGCATAATATATCATTTTTCCGTATTTCTGTTCACAAACAACACTTTTTTCCAAGTATAATGATATTACGGGTTTTTGTATGATAAAAGCGCCAGTTGGTATTTTGGCATCGGGCGTCATTTAGCCTTACACCGGCCCAATATATAATATATTTACACGTAGTGTCGATCCAAAAGTGAATAGTAGCGTTTGTCTTAAAACGCTTACAGAGAAAATAATCAAAGCGAAATGACCATATGTGGTATGCACAGTCTCACCCATAGTTTTTTCCATAAAATATTATTGTGTGAAACCCGCCGCCGACGGGAGGTCAACAGTTCGTATATATTATATAACATTTCTAGGGATACGCGATTGAACTTTCGGGTTTTAGCCTTTTGATCGATATTTTAGCAGGCACCGCGATACTCAACGACAGGTAATTTCGATTGAAACAGTTCAGGGTACGTAATAAACGACCCATCAGATACTATTTATGAATTAATAATGAACTATCAAATTTAATGAGAAAAAAAAGAACTTTCAAAAATATTATACTATAATAATTAGACTTAAATTTTGTTACGTTTTTTAATTATACATAAGTATATTCCCTACGTATGGTAAATCATGAGAATTTAGTTAATATAACACTATACAGAAATAATTTCCCATATATTGAATTTTAAACAATGTAGAATTTATAAGTGAAATAAAATAATGTATTCAATTTCATAAAAATACTTTACCATATTTTACATTTATACCTCGTGGAATTCAACAATGACAATTGATCGCAATATAATAACACTAAATTGTTGCTGACATTTTAAATCATATCCACCTAGTGAATAACTCAACTAAAGGGTATACAATCATCCCTTAGAGAATATTCCATGATTACAAATATTTTCAATATCAAATATAATATAATTAATAATTTATTATTATATTATTATTCAATTGATAATACCCTGTTGTGTACTTCGGAAGTAATTTTTTGGGCACCCTATAAAATTACTTTTAAAATTGAAATAGTCGGACACGTATCCAACAATTTCAATTTTTAGATAATTTACCGATGTATTTTCTCCAAATAAAACCCGTAGGGAGTAAATCTTTCACACCCCTCTTTATGAGTTTTCAAATCCACCGAGACAATGTCTTATACAGGTAAACGAAACGATTTTTCATTTGTTTTTAAACCCAACGCAAAGAACAAATACAAACAAATAGTTAAGGGACATGTTTAAAAACTATTTCATTTAAAAAACAGCTAATTTTTGTAAAGGAAAACATTGAAGAAACTATGTTATCCTCGTGACTGTAAAAGGCATCAAGCAATAAAGACATATTATAAGTTCTATTTTATTATATATATTTCAAACCATCGAGTTTTAGTCAAAAGCATAGTTGCAACAAATAATAATAATAATAATAATACGGGTAAAGTTAAATTATATTGAGCAAATCGATTGGCCATAATTAATTCGGTAAAATTATGACGGCTGTATTAACCCAGATTGATAATGATTTCAAAATGATCTAGCTAAACTTTAATCCGATAAATATTTTACTATCGAAAACAGATATTAATTTTAATTATTTAGCTTTAAATTAATTTAACACACATACATACGTGCATGCATATGAGCAAATTATGTTTTGACTCATTTTCGCGTATTCGTGACATAACTTATGATAATTTTCAAATCATTTAAATTACTATTAAATTTATACTCAGTGCCGTCGTTAGCGAGTAGACAACTTAGGCAATTGCCTAGGGCCTCGCACTTAAAATAAATTTGGGAGCCCACAGTTTTGTCAAGTTAGAATAGTTAAATATACTTAGATGTAAGCAATGTCGGATCTAGGAGGAGCAAGTGAGTATGCTTGTCCCAGGCGCAGTTAATATAAGGGTGCTCTTAAATTAACGGAAATAAAAAATGTCATGAACATACATATATCCATACATCCATCATCGTAAGGACGCTGCATTTTAATTAGCTCCGGTTCTCAAATTTCCTAGATTCAGTACTGGATGTAAGGAAATTGTACTGATTTTGCCTAAGGCCTCGCAAAAGCTTGCGACGGCATTGTTTATACTGCTACGCAAATAGTCGTCAGCCAAAGATACAGCTATGACGACTGTATAGTACCGCCGGCGCTGTGTAAAAACTATTCCTGTGTACATAAGGGGTGGTTCAGAGGTATCTATAGGGACTTTTTGGTACTACATCGTAAAACTACATATATTAAATATTGGAACGATGACCAGCAAAAGATGATTTATTTTTCTTTCTTTTATATATAAGTGATTAAATATTAAATACTTAAATACTATATTTAAAAAAATCACTCTATAATAATGCCATCAAATATAATATCAATCAGGTTTTTTTCAATTATATTTTATTTTTAGACTCAATATGTAGTTTTAGATTCCGAAATAAGTGAGGTGTACCAGTTGGTTGTATAATGTTTTTTTTTTTGTCTACACGGTTTCGACCAGACCACCTGGTCATAATCATCAAAAAAGGGGATGGGTTTTGACAGAAAATGCTGTTTATTGGGTACTTTCATGATTTGATTTTTATAATTCTCGACAGTTTTTCAAATAATTGAGAAAAGCCGACAGACAATAGTTAAAAAAAATATCAGGTTTTAAACAAAATTGAATTGATTTTTTTTTCGTCATAATTCAAAAAAGAAAAATTATTAAGATTTGAAAATTTCATTGAATACTTATATCTAGAGTTGTTCGAGTACTCGACTTTGGAAAAATTTCCGAGTCGAGTTCGAGTACTCGACTCGACTAAAAAAAATTTTGTACTCGTAAATACGAACCAAACACTCGAATTGAATTGATTACTTGTTTCAATGTTTCACTATATTATTTAAAAATAATTATTAAATGTTGAAATTATAAATAACTGAGAGAACCCAAATATAGTAACCTAAAAATCAATTGCTACATGTATGAAAGATCATTGAGAACGGATATACCGATTTAGGTGATTTTTTTTGGTTGTGTTCGTAATTGTCAGGACTCCGGGTGAGGTTTGTATGAAAAAATTTTGTATTCGACTACTTGGCATTTATCGAGTACTCTAATTTTTTTTAATATTCGGGAATTGTCTAATACTCGACTCTTTTTTTGAGTACTCGACTTTTTTTAATACTCGGATATTATTTAGTACTCGACTTTTTTTTGAGTACTCGACATTTTTCAAGTACTCGAATTTTAAACTCGACTTGACTCGATCTAATTGAAACTCGACTCGACTTGACTTGACTTCAAAAAACCAATACTCGCCCAATACTACTTATATCATCGTTCTTTATAGATGGTATAATTTTCAGAAAATGTTGGTATTTTTTGAGTTATTTATAGATAATATGGGTATTGATATTGTTTTAGTTTTAGATTTACAGCAACAGTTTAAAAATAATGTCAGAAAATTAAGTGGTTTTAAAAACAATTATAATTGTAAACGCAGTGGTTAAAGTGAAGGAGGACGGAGGAGGACGGAGTCCCCCTTCTTATTTAAGGTAAGTATATTCATCCTCTTAAATTTAAGTCGTCAAAAGTCCGGGTAGACGCTTAATGGCATTGGTCACTAAAATATAGTATTGAATATACAATACTTATTATAATATTACATGAAATTTATTTTTTTGATTTATTTGAATAAGTGGAAAAAATTTCGGAGAAATTATATTTAGGTATACTGATAAGAAAAAATGGTAGATAATGTACACTATGGGTTAATTTAATTGACGCTGTGTCTAATTATAGATGATTCCCGAGCGGTTACTACCCATAGCTCTAAAATTAAAGTAATAGTGATATAAGCTATTATTTAGAATAAATATTAACAGAATAGAATAACTATAAATAATATAAAATTTATAACTATATTTAATATTAAATTATGATAGAGGATAGACACTATCTTATAATATAGACAGTATACACCTTATGTGCAATATACGTATATGTTACTGTCTACGTCGACCAACAACTAGCAAGGTTAGTAATTGTTTCTTTTTCGTTTTATTAAGTTTAAGTTAAGTTTTTTAAACATTACACAAACATTAAATTAAACATGTATTTCAATTTTTTTTTTCAATCAGGCATATGTATAGAATTATTTTTCTTTGGAGGGAATTAGTTTTTACACCCAATGAAAATAAAATTTTTATGAACATATGTATATGAGCAACAAAAAAGGCTTAGACCTCATGGGTTTCCTAAAAAAGGTTGATAAGATTTAAAATTAGGAAGGAGAACGCTCTTCAATTTTTGATGAATATAGTCCCCTCACAACATTTTCCCCATTTAAACCACTGTGTATACGGAAAGTTTTTTTTTATTATTACAAGGTACATAATTGTTATATTTTTTTTTTTTTTTTGACTTTTGTTATAGTATTATTATTAGTAGTAGTAGTATTATTAGTATTATATTTCCTTTTATAATCTGAATACTTAAAACCCACACGGAAACAGAATAATAGTATGATTCGTATATAAATATGTTTACAATACGTAATACTTTAGTTTTGTACTAATTTTTAGTAAAATTCATATTTTTGGAAATCAACCGGAGAAGAAATTATACGAGTAGTTACCAATCAGAGGTGCCAGGATTTGAAAATCATGAGGAACTTACTATTTATAAATATACGTACAATTTTAACTAAATCAATAATCATAAATAATAATAATAAGAATAAATAAATAACCAAGATTTATATCTGTATTTTCAACGTCGTCATTACACCCATTATTAGCAACGGTAATTTTAGTTTGAATACCAAAATACTGAAGTAGAGAATTTTATGTATTTCCTCATTTTAATTAATATTAATAATTTATAATAAAATATAAATAGTAAAATATATTCGAATATAATAAATGATTAAACACTAAGTGTCTAAACAGTTTGACAGTGACAACAATATATGATAAATGGTTCACGCGCTGTCAAGGTGTATTGATATCAAACCATTATCATATCATGCATTACCGATATTCCGTTAATCAGACACCAGTTAACCAAGAAACTAGGTAGTTAATTACCAAAATCTACACTTTTTCTACATCGAAGAAAACGTTTATTTTTCTCAATTCATTTGTTATGAATAAAATTAGTATTTTAAGAATGTTTTATAATATGAGAACCGTTGGGGGCTGAACTCTAGCTTATCAAGCTTAAGGGAAATATAGTCCCCGAGTCCCCATGTACACGGTGCTTCTGTTAATAATTGTATTTAATTTTAAAAATTATTCATTAAAGAACATTAGAACAATGGTGACTTGATGCGGTTGGAAATATGTTAAAATATAAAATAAATAAAATATTCTTAAGACAATGTACAATAATCAGGTACATTGGTATATTTTCGGGATGGAAGCATTTCCGAGTTAGTTTACGATTTAACGAAGTTATTAATAAATAAAAAATACCTAAAAACAATGGAATCGATGATTGCAGAAACTTCACTAGTCATATATTTTATAAATGTGAGAATCACTAAAAACGTATTTTATGATTCTTTACGTTTGGTATAAAAACATATGACGTTTTTACTAATATCTTAATTTCATAAAATATATGACTTGTCACATTTCTGCAATAATCGATTCAATCCAAGAAATTATTGATGAACTATGAAAAACAAAGATGTTTATCTTTTTTATGAAAAATAACTCTTAATGTGTATTTATAATAAAAATAAAATAATTATTAAATTATACCTTATATGTATTTTTCATAATATTATAAAACTATTAATTTTTTATAAGAATGTTAACTACCCCACAAAAAAATTGAAAATACGCCACTGGTCAGGTGGACTACTAAGATTAAATTATAAAATGTATAATATGACATTCGACGGTAAACGAAGTGTTATTTAATTAAGTACAAATTTGAAATGTTTTGTAATGAGAAATGAGAACCAAAAACTTCAGATTAGTTCAGGTGCATGAGGTCGATCCATATAGTAAAAAATTGTCAAATGTTACACCCCCATTCGACGTTTTGTCACAAGTAAATCGGTGTACAGTTCCTTGAAAATTATCGACACCGAATTATAACTGAAACATAATATTTTATTCTCGAATTTCGTCTTATAGTTTTAACATATCATAATATCACGAACCCAATATTAAGTCTTAAAAAGTTAAGGAATGAATAAAACCCAACCAATGAAAAGTATTAAAAATTTTATATCTGAATCGAAAACAATCAAATTCGTATGAAAAGTAATAAATTCATTACTACGCAAATAATAATACATAATAAAATGTTATAATAAAATCAACACAGATGTGAACATTTTTTTATTTAAATATATAAATATATCAATTAATTATTTTAAACTTGGCTGTAATTAAAATTAAAATAAAAAATAGTCAAGCATGAAGTTCAGTGTAATTTTTATATAAAACCAATCAAATGTATAACTAAATGTAGCGTGAGGTCCATTGTTTGAAATGCACGGGAAAATCAAATTATTTTGAAAAGCAAACAATCTATTTATCTCTATAGGACATACTTCATACACCCGATAGTTATTATTTTCGATACCATTGGGTTCGCGGCACTAAATTGAGTTTCAAAATAATAAGTTTCTAAAGAGTGATATCCAATCAAAACCGGATGGAATACAAAATAATATGTATAGATATTTCAAAATTATATTACTAAAAATATTACATTTAAATTTTATCACATACACGTGACACAAAATATTGTAAAATTATTTTGAAATTAATTATCTAATGTTATACCTAAGTTTTGTCGGTTGATATTAGATTTATTTTTTTTTTTATTTGTATATTTGTTAGCATACGAACATTTAATATTCTTCGTATAAAATACACCTGACATTAACAAATATTATCTTATTGGTAATAATTAACAAATTTTACGAAATTGAATTGAATTAAATTGAATAATGGTTCATGATTATCATTAAACGTCAACACAATTGCGGAAATTGTCTCCATGATTACGAATAACAGACAAATAGGCTTTATTTCAATGTATGGAATATGGAAATACCAAAAGGTAAATTGGTAGGTATAGCGTATACGTAATGAAAACAATTATAAAATAATTGAAATTGTAAACATTTTTGTTGTTGTCATAAAGTAAATACAAACATTAATTATATTTATTTTTGCCTGGGGAATATTCTCTGTTCCCATCTCTGAACAGAACAGAATTCACTTGCAGTAGTAATACATCAAGGTTACGACGTGATTTATACGTGTAATCTGTAACTTGATCTTTTTTGTAGCGCACCAAAACGTAAATCAAAACGTTATGATTTAACATTAAATTCGTTATTATTCGTTCTAATAGAAAAACTGTAAGTAAACATAGTATTTTTGAATAATATGGAGAACTATTCTCATATTACTTAAATACATACATATATGTTTAAGGGAAAGCAAAGTTTTTTTTTTTACTATTCTAGCAAATTATTTTTGAAGATTTTAATACTAAAAGAAATAGTTAAATAAAATAGTAAAAATTAACACGAACTTATAAAAAACGAGTATTTTCTTTACACTTAGTGCATATTGTATTGAACATTGTCTTTATCGATTTTTTTTTTTTTATATCAACATTAATTTAAATATATTTAAAAAAAAATTAAATAAATTATGTTGAAAAAAAAAAAGTATAAACTTTTGAAATTTGATGCTAAAAGTATATGTAATGTAAAGGATAGGCTGAATAGAACGAAACTCAAACGAAATATTTAGAATTTTGAAAGAAAAACGTAGAGTTAGGATAGAATAGAGCGTTGAAAAATTGTTAGACACTAAGGCGCACAAAAGAGCTGAATAGTATAATATTGAAGGGTATGATAAAAGGAAAAAAACCGGCAGGACGACCATGGAATTCTTATATAGAACAAATTAAATGTGAACCAAGTGTTACAATAAACAAAGAGCCTTAAAGAAAAGGCTAGCAATCGGTCAGAGTGGAGAATTTGAGTTATAAACCAACCTTAGAGTTGAAAAAAAAATATACTGCCGTTGATATTTGAGTTAAATTGTTTTTTTTTTTAAATATTTTTTCAAAGCGAAACAGATGAAACAAATGCATATAAAGTACCGTAGACAAGTGCATAATATATGTATTTGTAAAACCAATGACCTCGGGGATATAGAATCGATAAATTCACAATGCACGGTAAGTTTTAAAATTATACGATACACGTTTAAAAAAAAATTTAATATTTTTAGAAAAATAACATAAACGTGCCCCACGAGTTGGACATTAGTCAAATAAAATATAGTTCAATTGATTATTAGAATAAAAAAATATTCTTCATTGATTTATTTTTAATTTTCTTATTGATTTTTATTTTTATTCATTATTTTAATTTATATTATTATTCGTTATTCCCTATAATCATATAGATAATAAATTTAAATCCTAAATAACGATGCATAATATTAATAGACTTATTGTTTAGACTTAAATAATATATATAAAGGTAATACATATTAATACATATAAAAATTTTACAAAAATAAATTAAATATACTTTTATATTTAATATCACTACTTAATTAATATCATTCATGATTTTAACGAATACATTTATTCTGAATAATTGTGTTATTTACGAATAAAACTATTCAGAATAATGTTATTCTTTATTCAGTATACCACAATTATTCAGAATAAAAAATTATTCTTTATTCATAAATAAATTAGTTATTCACGCTTTTATTTTTTATTCTTTATTTTGATTTATTTTTGCCCAACTCTGCCCCACGATGCGTAACGAGATACCACTTGTACGCGTACAGTCGCAATAAGATACTACCTGCTATTGTTAATGTTTTTTTTTTTTTTTTTTTTAGAACAAAACGTATACGCATTTCATCGTGCAATTACATTCATTTGTACAAGGAGATATAACACTTTTCGAGCGCATCTATATGAATGTACGAGTATATATACAGATGATACGATGATGACACTTTTACATGCGTCGTAAAACAACGAAAAAGTCCACAGTGTAATAATATATATGTATAATACGATGAATAGGTTTTGAAAACACGAATTTTACCTCTGCTGTACTCGTTGAATCCGTCTTCTCCCATTTTTTCAATCATGCTCCTTTTCCAATTTTCTAAAGCCGCCTTTGACTTCTCCGACATTGTAGCGTTAAGGATGTTCGTTACTGACGGTACCACATCACATTCGGAGCTTTTACGTACAATAACTTTGTCGTGACACACTGCAGCTACAAACTGTTGGTAATATTCTTCGTTCAAATCCCGCTTAGAATGATCGACCATACTGAAACTGTCTAAATATCACCATACATTTGGCACGGTGACGTATAACACGAGGTTGTGAACAATGATTACTTATATTATTACCTCTATATATATATATATACCTAATATATTTATATATTATGTATTGTAATGTATGATTTACATAAGGTACTCCATTTAACATTTTTACCGATGAAAATTTTATATTTTATATGTACAATTTTATATTACTATTAAAGTATCAATTTAAAGGGTTTAAAATCAAAATTTTCTTAGAAGCATTTTTCAGTGATCCGAGTTAGAGTTTATTTGTATAAAAACAAGCTTATTATTCGCATACAGTTATTGTGATTTATTATTTTGTCATATAAAATGCTAAATTATATAAATATACATTTTTGCCTTATGAATTGAAATATTCGAATATTTGAAAAATAGTCAAGTTATTATTTTAACATATTTTATTTTATTTATTCGAATAAGACACTATAAGCATTTTTTTTTTTTTTTTTAAGAAGCTTGCATGATAAAAGTACACCGTATATTTATTATTACCATATATTATTTATTTATATTTACATAAAGTTGTCTACAATTTATCTAAATAATGAACTGCATCATAAAATTTTAACGTAAAAAAAGATTGAATTTTTTTTTCTTGCAAACTATATAGATCAGCGAAAATAAAACATAACATATTTTACATATACATTGTATCAATGAAAACAAATCCACAACACTTATACACATATATGTTACCTTTTGCAATCGGTTTGATCTTTAACTTCAGCCGATCGACATTGTCATTAACTCTTTCCACTTTGACTGCGTGGCTTCCATCCGTGCTTTTCAGACGTTTTTTTCTTATTTTGTTAGTCTCCAAAAGATCACCGAACAACTGCTTGGTATCTCTGTTCATATTTTTGAATATTTTTCCCAGATCTTTTTTGGAATAAGTTGTTTTAAAACGCAACAGAGAACGTATCCCAATCATACTACGTATACGATGGCGAGTTGTAAATGTCAAAATTATGAAAAATCTAAGGATGCAAAACCTACAACCAATTAAAATACCAAGTCAATATCATAAAACTATATAGTGTTAATAAGTGTCTCAAAGGGTTAATCACTGGCGAGTACAGGCTCTATCAAACATCGATTATTGTAAAACAGTACTTTGTTTAAAAGATGCGAATATGAATAATGCCATAGTTGTAAAACGTTAAATTAAAATATATACATAAATCTAGGTAAATCGTTTTTATACATTTTTAAACGCGAAATTACTCTGTTGACTATTATTTGTACGTTAAAGTGTAACAACAATACTGTTGATAAGATTTAAAGTCGAAATTACAAAATTAGTAATGATTGACATATTGTGTCGGGTTTAATGCTTGCGATCACATATAACTAAATTCTAAAATTGAGAATTTATATTTGAGGTCCAACAGCTCAACTCGTCGCTTATGTATATATATATCGCGTACACATTATTATTAATTTGTTCGCACTTGCTCCAGAACCTAGAGATTGTCCAAAAAATGTTTGAAAAATACGTTTCCACCAATTAACACGAAAGGTGAATAATGAAATTTCCAAGATCAATGGGTCAAACGTAGCTTTGTCCGCAATCGGCGTTTCACATAATTTTTCTTCATAGAGGAGTCATAATAAACGAAGCGTCCAAGCTTTAGATGAGGAAACAGAGGAGGATAATAAAAACACCGTAACGTCAACGTTCAGATAACGTTTCCTTCCGTGACCTGGGTTATAAAATACATGTCCACGTGTGCACATTCTGATTGTATCTCGAGACTATTTATCGTTCGACCGTGCTTGAACGGCGCTGATATCGCGATGTGAGATTAATTAAAACGATGGACGAAAACCGTTGCGGGCCAGGGATCGTATTACTACGCTTGTAAATGTAGACAAAATCGATGTACTACGAAATACGTGACGGTGTTTTACGGTTTGTATCGATATTATTATTATTTTTCCATTTTGTAAAACGCAAACGCGACTCTCGTCGTCGCAGTGATCTCCACGAACCAAGGGGCATATTTTAGGGGGGGGGGGGGGGAAGGGGGAGATCGTCCCCCACCTAAATCCGTATTTAAGGAATCGATTATATGCGAGATACTGTTTCAATTTTTTTTAGTTGGATCATTTTATAACAAAATCAAATTACACGTGGCTATAAATACCGAATTGGGCTTTTTGCTGGGTCCATACTTAGTGAAAAATCAAATAAAACACAAGCGTAACTTTCAAAACACAGACAGGTGTTAAAAAGAACTTCACAAAAGTTGATTCTAAGTGGATATTGCATTAAATTAAAAAAAAACCACAAATATTAAGGATTCACCTAATTTACCAAAAATTTTACTTGTAAATTTTGAGTCTGAATTAAAGAAAATATTTGAATCACCCTCCTCCCCCCTAAAAGTAATTCTAAATACGCCCCTGCACGAACCGCGTTAAGTCACGGCTGTCGTTCTGCTATGACGTTCCGTGTAGCCCTAACACGCCACACAAACCCGGCGATTCCGGGTGAACTACGCAAACGTGAATAGCTGTGCACGCAGTACGACTGGTATCGACCGGGTTCTAGTACGGATTCAGGTTCGGACCGAGACTTATGATCGGGTGTCAACGGTTCGCGGACGGATCCCGTGGACAGTGTAATACAAAATAAAATTTTTTTTAAATCAGTGTATTTTCATTGTTTACAAGTGTTTTTATAGAATGTTGATAACAATATTGGTATTTCTTTAAATTCAATGAAGGGCCACAGCAAGACGTGCGGGTATGGTCATGTTTAATATTTACCTGTTACAATATATTGCCAATTATTGTTTTGACCATTATTTCGGCTGATCTAGGCTTTAAATAGAGTGAAGTAATAATCCATTAAAAACTATATCCGGCAAAGACTGTTCAGTGCAAAGCCGGGTAATTCAACTATATAATTATCTTACTGAAGACTGAAGAAATGAGCCGAGCTTAAGTTCGCAATGAAATCTGTCGAGTGGAGAAAAATCGATTATACTACACTTCTGCAGCTCAATGTCCCTATTTTTATAGTTCTCTTTTCGTCCGTGGCTAAAGAATTTTATTTTATATACATCAAACTTTGGTGTTGTATACTATAATGTATTTTGTATACACGTATTAATATTTTTCAGACAGATTGTAAAAACAAAATCTGAAAAAATGTAAAAATAACGTTCAATTTAGTTATATATCTACAGTTTACACCAAAACAAGCAGTACTCTATTTTATTATCTACTCCCCCAGTATAGGTCAAGAAGAAAATTAATTAAGTAAAAATGATGTATTCTGATTTTATAGAATTTCGTGTCACATTTTACTTCGATTCCGTCATATGTATGCACACACCTTTTTTCAGGGTATGCGAAAGACTGCCACTGCTCACTCTCACCATTAAAAGTTATTTTAAACGTTCAAAATTCTGATAAATATATACACCTAAATGTCTGAATAACTGTTTAATATAAAATTTGAATTTTTTACTAAATAAAAAGTGACTAGATAGCTATTTCTTTATTGTTATAACTGTCTTCAAAATTTAAATTTAAAATAAATTACGAAAAAAAATTAAACACAAAACACTTGAAATGGATTGAGTAATGTATTTAAATACTGCAAATAAACAAAAACGTATTGATTATAACAATACAATTCCGCCTTTAATTGAGTTTTTAAAATCATCAATAATATCGTCCGGATTTAAATATATAGCAATTTCTTGCACTGTATTTAAAAGCATTAAGCTATTTAATCTCGCTTGAAGCATAGTACTACTTTTTAATTTCATTAATAGTTTAAATCATTATTACATTGGTATATAATTTGTGTTTAAAAAATAAATAAAAATGTTTGGAACATAATATAAAAATACAATAATAATTATAGTGCAATACAAAATCATTTAATATAAATTTAAAGACCAAATATGACACATTTTTTATTTATTTTTAGCATTGTAAGAAACAAGGCCCTGTGTTTAAGGTATAAACTGCATGCCCTGCATACTCCTTGCGCACGCATAAGGTTTCCGCAGACATCAAGTTAAAGTACAGGACTTGGTTTAGAAACGAACGAATTAAAAAATCTTAATATTGATTGTTATGTTATTATTATTTGCATTATCGTAAAAATAACGATTTTACAGCAATTTTTTTGAAACGTCCATAGCGGGTAGTTTAATAATTTGTAATTTTGTAATCGTGAGTGTAAATAAATTCATAAAAAGCAATAATTATAAACTTAAATACATCGTTAAAGTATTTTTGCTTTTTTTTACATGTCTTTTTTTTTTTTAACGAACTTTTTGATGTTTTTAGATCGTTAAAAATCTGTCCAACTCAAAAACTAGCTAATAATCGCCTTCTCTCCTCCACAATGACATCGAACAGCGAACCGTGTAGTGTGTACCATAATCTTGTACATATTATAATAAACAATTTAATCTCTCCACACGTTACGTGTGTGTATAAATGTAGTAATATATATTTGTTTTCCTTCGGCCCTTTCTTATTGCTTACCTACTTCATAGTGCTTTTAGAAAAAAAACACTTAATATCAATTTGAAGCGTATATAAATATAGGTTTAATTTTTTAAATATTAAATACGTTAATAAAATTAAAGAAATGTAAAACAAAAAAGTTTATTTAATTTTTTTAAACAACTGTAATTTAAAAAAAGATGTTTTAAAAATGTTTCACGGGGCTATTGGAAATTTAAGTGACTATCTTAAAATGTTTAAAAGATGTATTTGCATGCTGTACAATCACTTCTAAATATTGAGAACCGAAATCATATGCGCAAATTGGGGGGCTTGGGGCTAAGCCCCCAATTTAGCCATAGCCCCCCAAAAATTTACAAATTTAAAATGTTATATTATAAATGTGTACAGTGTTTTTTTTTTTTTTATATATTTAAATAATATTATATATTATGAGATGGCCATGTTAATTATAAAATAGAAATTATCACTGGTATTGTAGAATTAAATGTATAATATTAGTTTGACGAGCGATTTTCCAGTTTGGCAATAATAAACATTGAAAGAGAAGTATTAAATCAGCTTAAAGCTGAGGATATACTAATTGAGTGTGCTAAGACCAATAAAAGGTTACAATTATAATTTGTTGTTTATTTTGATTGATATATAGGTATAATAAAATTAATTAATAAATGTATTACTATATTGTTAAAATTATGTTATTATAACCCTCCCCCCCTTCTTTAAATTTGTGGTAGGTCGACCGTAATAATGAAGATAAAAAAATTAATCAGATTATGAAGTAATATTATAAGGTAAGATATGAATGGTGATTGGTGAGGGATGTGGGGAGGCTTTGTCCCATATAGGTCTGCTTGCCCTTAATATATTCAGCCCTCTCAAGTCAAAAGTTGAAATTCGCCTATGACCAAGAGGCATTTAGCTTCATCATGTGTGCGAAATAAATATAAATGTCAATGTACATCTTTATACTTGACATGGTCGATATGGTATACATGCATTGATAGGCGAATTGCTCTATCGCATCATAGTATCCTACCATCTACAGATCGACTGTCACTTGATTTGTACATTCTTAAGATTTACTAACTAGAGTGTAAATTTATCCACCCAACCCACCTCACACCCACCCAAACACCAGACACCCACCACCATAGTTAAACAAAAGGGCGAATTGCCCCATAAAAGTACGTGATCGGCACCACTGCTGTGTACCAAGTAAAAACGATTGGTCTGCGACAATGTTCGGCGGTATTTTAGCAAGTACACAAATATTTTACAACACGGTTGAATTGCATTGACGAACTATTGACGATTGTGTTCGCTGTTATTCTATAAAACGAGTCGCTCCTAAAAAAACTGTCAGTACCCGATGACAAAAGTGTGAAATGACGAATAATTGTATATGTTTACTTAAAATAAAAACCAGATACCTTCGTACCTTTGGGAAATGTGCATTACAAACGTGCAATGTCCAGCTGGTTCTAAATAATTATTG